CCAGCTCCAAGTCGAGCTGTTGTTCACCATCTTAGCTGTAGAGGGCGCAGCATCACTGGCCCTCATGTGTAATCCGAACCAGGGCCCTGCTGCTCAGAGCTGGCGTCCCAAGCCAGTTCTTAACCAACGCGCCACTCGACCTGTTGCCGGCCGGTGACCCAAGGGAGGACAGTGGGGAATGAAAAATAAAGGAGACCTGAGTCAAAAGGAGGTCTCTGCAAGCTGATGGCTTGCAAGGGCCCCTAATAATCAGATACACTTTATACAGCTACAGTCAGGAAGTTAAAAGAGGAACAGGGGAGTAGCTATCTGGTGCAGCATATTTTTCTAGTTCTGTATAGTTAGACTTGTAGGTACAGATTGCAGAAGTAGGCAAGCTCAGCCAAGGAGCTCGTCTCTAAATAAAGGTCAGAAGGAAGGAGCTAGTTTGTCCAAAGCTGACCACGAGCAAGGGGGATAGGAGAATGGGGTCAGCTTTTCGCTGAAATCTCAGACTGCAAGGACCATGTCAGCTTGCAGTCAACACTCCACATTGGCCGGGCCCAAGAAGTTTGTTTTCTCACAGTTCTGGAGACTGGAAAGTCAAAATCAAGGTGGTAACAGGTTTGCTTTATCCTGAGGCATCTCTCCTTGGCTTGCAGACAGCCACCTTCTGGCTGTGTCTTCACATGGCCTTTGCTCTGTGCACATATTCCTGACGTCTCCCCTTTTTTGAAGGATTCCAGTCCTGGGTTACAGCCCATCCTTATGATTTCCTTTAACTTAATTACCTCTTTAAAGGCCCATTCTCCAAATACAGTTACATTGTAGGTTAAGGCTTCATATGAATTTTGGGGGGTGGTGGGCGGTGGGGGTGGGTGGGGACATAATACAGTCCATAACAGGCTACAAAGGGGTTTTGGAGAAAATCTTCAACTTCTCAGAGGCCATCTCACCTTAATTTTTTTTAACTTACATTACTTCTAGACCAAATGCTGTGAAGATACCATTTGAGTACTAGATTGCTGTTTGTATGTAGAAGAATATATTTATGCGTACTTGCACATTGTATATATAAAATATGGATTATATAAAAGTGTATATGTATATTTTTTAAAATTTAAATNTCCCATGTGGGAGTCGAACTGGCAGCTTTGTTGTTAACGCATACTCTATCCACTGAGCCATCCAGGTGGCAGCTCAGCTCAAGGTGCCGAGCTCAGACTTAGCTGTGGGCGGGCGAGGCCACCATGTCGAATAGGCAGTCTTGTTATTAGGAGCATGTGCTCTCACCAGCTGAGCCATTCTGCCACCTGTTGGCAGCTCAGTGGCAGCTCGGCTCAGGTGCAGCATCACTGGCCCATGTGGGAATCGAACTGGCGGCCCTGTTGCTCAGAGCTCGCGCTCTTAAGCTAACTCTTAACCAATTGAGCCACTTGGCCAGCCCCGGAATTGTCTGTTTTTAATCTATTAATGTTGAGACTATTTTAGTGCATAAAACTCTATCCAGGGTTTTACTCTATCCTGTTCAGGGTTATTTCCTTACTGTACATGCCCAGAAGAGTCATTGCTGGTCAAAGAGAATGAACATTCTCATGACTTTGCAAAAGTGCCCACTTAGCTGAATTCTCATACCACTGGGTTGTTTGTGTACTTTTTAAATCAATTTGCAGGGGCCTTTGGATATTGCGTTAGCATTTGTGATGTGCGGTGCCAGTATCATTTCCAGTCTGTGCCCTTTGACAGTGTCTTCCTGTTGGCATTTAGGATTTTTCATTTTTATGTAGTCAGTGGTCAGTGATCGGTGTGTTTCTTGATGGCTCTTAAGTTTTCCCCTCTTGCTAAAGAAGGCCCCTTCTACCCAAAAGTCACACAGCTTTTCTGTTTCCTAAAGCCTCATAGTTATGTATTTTTTTATGGTCAGAACTGTAGTCTTTATTTATATTTGTAGTATGATGTAGGGCCAGCAGGATGCTTTGGGCTGTAAAAATAACTCAGGCTGGCTTAAATGGGGAGGAGATTTTTTTTTGGTCACATAATTGGAAGTGCAGAGGGAGGGTGGGCTTTGGTGTTAACTCAGTTCCCAGCTTTTGGCTTCGTGTTCTTGTGATTCTCCTGGCCTTGCACGTTCCCACATGTTGGTTTTGTCCTTAGTTCAGCAGCAAGAGGCTCGTGCAGTTCCAGGCCTTAGGTCCACACAAGGAAAGAGAAAAGAGGAAGAGAGACAGGGTCAATTCTAGATATTCAGACGAGCAAGGAGAGGTTCTTCAGAACCCCCAGCAAACTTTTTGTTGCTAAGCTGGCTCGTTCCTGGGCTGATTCCTGAGCTAGTCTCCAACTAGGGGAGTTGAAGTGCCCTTCTACTAACAAGGCTCACCCCGAGATTTTCAAATTCACTGCTACAGTTAACACATATTATTCACTTATTTTTAAAAATCTCTTCTTGTCAAGTTATGTCTCATTTTTCATGTTTTATATATGAAATTTGTCCCTCCTATTTTTTTTTCTTAATTAGGCTTGCTGGAGTTTTATCTATTTTGTTGGTCTTTCAAATCAATAATATTAGTTTTGTATACTCTATCGATATGGAAGAGTGTTGCCTAATTTTCCAAATGTTTTGAGTGTTTGGAGTCATTTTGTTTTGTTGTAATTTTTGATTGGATTATGATTAAAGCCTGTACATTTTCTACTTTTGGCATTAAGATTTATAGTCAAGCACAGGATTGATCTTTGCGTGTACTTTGTGTACATAAATGAAGATAGTATGTTCGTTAAAAGTAAAACATTCTGAGCCGGCTGAGTGACACATTGGTTAGGAGCTGGCTTGGGACGCCAGCTCTGAGCAGCAGGGCCCTGGTTCGGATCCCACATGAGGGCCAGTAACACTGCCCTCTACAGGTAAGATGCTGAACAACAGCTTGACCTGGAGCTGGGCTGCTGTGAGTTGCTGGTGGCGGCATAGGCTGCAGCTCCTGCTGCAGTGGGCTGCCATAAGCTACCATGTGTGGCCAGCAGCCAGTGTGAGCGGCCGGCAGCTGGTGTGGGCTACCGAGAGCCACCATGAGTGGCTGTCCAGAGGCCGGCTACTGATCTGCCTCACTCGGGAAGC